CACCTGGAGTACTGCGTCCAGCTCTGGGGTCCCCAGCACAAGACAGACATGGACCTGTTGGAGCGGGCCCAGAGGAGGCCACAGAAATGGTCAGAGGGCTGGAGCATCTCTGCTATGAGAGATCTGGGGTTGTTCAGCCTGGAGAAGAGAAGGCCCCAGGGAGACCTTATTGCGGCCTTTCAATACTTAAAGGGGTCTTATAAGAAAGACGGAGAGAGACTTTTTACCAGGGCCTGTAGTGACAGGACAAGGGGCAATGGTTTTAAACTGAAAGAGGGTAGGGTTAGACTGGACAGATGGAAGCAATGTTTTATGATGAGGGTGGTGAGACAGTGGACCAGGTTACCCAGAGAAGCTGTGGATGCCCCATCATTGGAAGTGTTCGAGGTCAGGTTGGACGGGGCTTTGAGCAACCAAATCTAGCGAAAGATGTCCTTGCCCATGGCAGGGGGGTTGGACTGGATGGTCTTTGAAGGTCCCTTCCAACCCAAACCATTCTGTGATTCTAAAAGTGGTCTTTCCCTGCCTGCCTTAGGTCATGGTCCTGACTGGGCTTTTGCTCTCCCATACCTGCTGGGACAGCATTTGGGTAGTTGGGACTTACAGGAGGTGATGGTGGTGGGATGTCATGTCAGCAAGCAACTCCTCCAGCCCCAGGGTGGCTAGGTCCGTGGCCTGGAGCTGCGCTGGGACCTCATCCCTGCAGTAGTGCTGCCGGGGCTGGGGCAAAGCCTGAGGTTTGGCAGCTCAGGGAGGAGCCGGCTCCCTGCCCATGCCACGTGGGCTGTGATTCCAGAAAAAGGCATCAGAAATATCCCGTATGAGCTTCCACACTCCAAAAAAGTGCGGTTTTTCTGGTGTTGCAGGCATTACTCAGGGCTGCTTGTGTGGCTGCTCTGTGGGCAAGGTGAGTGATGTGACTGTGGGCAGATGCTGCCGACTGAGCCAACTTGTCCAGCCACAGCCCTCAGGCACTCTGGTGGTGGCAATCCCAGTTGGTCCTGCGTGGCTGGACACGGCCTGGGGAGCGCAGCGATGTGGAGCTGGTGGGGCCTGAGCAGCCCGAGTGGCAGATGGGTGACGGTCACAAAGGGTGCTCGATGACCTGTGTGTGTGCGTGGACCATCACAGGAGCCCTCACCGGTGCCATGCTGCATTTGCATAAAGGTTTCAAAAACATAAAGGTTGCAAAAAGAAGTTACTGAGCACCCCAGCACGGAAAGTGCCTTCCCCTCCCCTTTTCCTGGCCCTGGGTTTGTTTTTGCATCTTGCATGAGACAGGCAGCTGGAGCTGGAGGCAGGTTTTGTCCCACCGCCGCGCAGGGTCCGGCCATGCCGGCCGTGGGAACCCAGCGTGCTGCTGCTGCTGGGAAGTCCAGAGGGGAAAAAAACAGCCATCCCGGATGCAATATGTGGAGTTGTCCATGTTTGCAATTTCCTGTGTCAGTGCAGCCTTTAACCTGACTCACAGCCTGGTTTTACCTCCCAGAATAAACCCTTCCACTCAAAAAATACTGGTGAAGGTACCGAAGGCCCCAGGGCTGGGGGGGAGCAGGGGGTTATGGCCAGCCCCACTCCCTGCTGTGAGTGTGGGGATGGGGCGTGAGCTCTGTGTTCTGCCACCAGTGTCCCTCCCCACACCGCTGGCTCTTCTCCTCTGGCTCAGCTGAGTATGAAATCCTGACATCCTGTGCTGCTGCCACCGTCCCTTTGCAAAGCCACCTCCTGGCGTGGACAGGGACCTGGGTGTCTGGCAGTGGATCTTTACGTGCAGGCAGCGGGGCAGAGATGGGCAGGTCCCATGCCTGTCCATGTGGCCGGGGCATCCCGGGATGCTGGCTGCCTGGCCGGCATCCTCCATCCTCGTGTGCCCAGGTGACACCTCCTGTCACCCGGCAGGGTGACCAGCGGCCATGACGACGGAGACGGGCCCCGGTTCGGAGGTGAAGAACACGCAGGAGGAGGCGCAGCAGCAGCAGCTGGAGATGGCTGCGCACGGCCCCACCACCGCAGCCACCAACCCCACCGGCCGGGACGCTGAGGCCAATGAGAAGCCTGGGGCACAGTCCGATGCCCGAAATATGGAGCCGGTGAGTGGGTGACGGCTGGGTGCCATGAGATGCGGCAGAGTGGAGGGCGCAGCAGAGGAAGGGGATGTGCCACCGCTTTCTGCTGCCCATTGCCATGTCCTTGCTGCAGTGTGGGGGCTGCAGGGAGCCCGGTGAGCTGGGCACCTCCCCTGTACTGTCAGCCCCGGGGGAACATCCCGGAGGGGAGCCCCCTACAACCAGGGCAGTGGATGGGCTCTGCCAGCTGTCTCCCAGCTGCCTGCACGGGTCCTTGCGGGCAGGACAGGCAGAAGGAGCAGTGTGGCAGCCCGAAGTACTGACTGTGCTGGAAATGGCACTGCCGTGGCTGCCGGCCAGGGCGGAGGGAGGAAGCGGGTAGCCCCGTGTCCCAGGACTGAGCTGCCCCTGGCAGGGCTGGGAGCCGCAGCTGCACCCCAATGTCAGCCTCGGAGCCACCGGGGAGCTGTGCTGCTGCCAGCAGGCACAGTGCTGCCCTGGCCCTGCCTGCTGCACCGGGCAGTTGGGCAGGGAGGTTTCGGGTGCTGAACAGGCTCACAGGCGTCCATTTTCCAGGGACCTTGGTTGTGCTGGCAGCACGGGGTGGGGGAACTGGTCTTGGCTGTGGACTCCCAAGAGGTATCAGCCTCCCCGTCACCAGCTGCTGTTCTCTGCCTGCTGTTGGAGGGCTTTCCCCATCTGTCCATCCATCCTGGCAGTGGTGCCGGGTAATCCTGTGCATCTCCCCGCTCCAGGGCACAGAGATGGAGGAGAAGGACTACAGTGAGACGGACGGGCTCTCTGACAAAACAACCCCCAGCAAGACCCAGAAGTCACCCCAGAAAACCACCAAGAAAGTGAAGAGTGCCCTCTGCAGAGTGACCCTGCTCGATGCCTCTGAGTACGAATGCGAGGTGGAGGTGAGTGCCAGCTTCAGGGGGCTGCGCTGGCACCAAGGAGAGGACACATCTCAGTCTGGGGACGCAGCCCAGCCCACTGAGTCCCTGATATCGGGGGTCTTCCAAGGACAGCTTTGTAGTACCTCCCTCCTAGGGAAAAGGATCCACAGAAATAGCCATTTAAGTTGAAATTTCAAAATAAGGAAAAAAATCTGGAAAGACAGACCCTAGCAGGGAATTTCAGCCCAGTGAATCCAAATTTGGAAGCTACTTACAATAGAAAACTGTCTAAAAAGCAGAAGCTTAATAGATGGGGAATAGAGCTCTGCCTGACAATATGTGCACGACACATCCATGTGCCAGCCTGTCTGCTGACACCTCAAGAGCGCAGCGTGTTGGCTGTCCCGCATGCTAAGGTGAAGGATGTGAGTGCACATGTTGGTGCGAAGAGGCTGACACGCATGGACCCTCATGGCTGCCCAGGCGAGTTTGCGTCTATCCTCTCTGTGGTCATCTTCTTATCCCTTGCTGTCCCTCCCCATAAAGCCAGCAGGCCAGGGACCGCATGGGGAGGTGTGTCAGAGCCTGGCAGCATCGTGCATGTGTGTGCATGCATACGTAAGGGTGATACACATGCACATTCTTGTAGCTGCATCCTCATGTGTGCAGGCAGGGCAGTGTGCCTGGGCAGGCGGTCCAGCACCCTTCTCTGGGTGTGTGGGCCACCCGCTATTTGTGCAGCATTGCAAGCGTGTGGCGTGGGTGTGCACGAGTGCATGCAGGTGTGCACCGGGGAGCGTGTTTCCCTGGTAGTGGCTGTCACTGCAGGGAGGGACAGAGGGGACTGGCGCCTGCCAGTGGCTGCCTCGGTATTGGGAGATGCTGCAGGGCTGCTTCAGCCACTGTCAGCACAGGGACCTCTCCCTTCTAGGACAGGCTGGGCGACACCCAGGATTAAGTCAGGACCTGAGGCTGGTTTTTGTGGAAGGGTCCTGTGGCCCTGCCACAGGGGCAAAGGCAGCTGGGAGGAGAAGTACTTGTAGGGAATGCCTGTTTCTGTCCCCAGCGCTTACTGCTGTCTCCTGCCTGCAGGTTGGGGAAGGCAGCACTGCTCTGACCTGTGGCATCATCCTGGTGGGAGGGACATTTTTAAGGACAGGCAACTTTGCTTAAAAATGAGAAAGCTGAGGTTGTTCAGGAGCAGAAATCCTGGAGCCTTTGCCAGGGCACCTTTGCACTTGCTGCTGGCGAGTGGGCAGACAGGTTTTTGTTGGCAGCAGCTCGGAGCTGGCTGCGCAGAGTAGACCTGCATCTGTATGCAGGTCCTGCCTCCCCCGGGTCTCAGCTGTGCAGGATTGATGAACGTAAGGAGCGTGGCTGCCTGCTCGCTGTGGCTGCCTGGGACGAGTGAGCACCCCGAGGCAGCCAGCAGTGGGGGGGTCTGGCCCCCTGCCCGTGGGACAGGCAGCAGGGCCTTTGATCTCTGTGCTCCAGCAGCCCTGACTGTCGCTTTAGCGGTAAAATTTGTCACAAAGCTGTGGAAAGAAGGGTTGTCACAAAGATGAAAGCCTTCCTGAAGAAGAAAAGGAACAGAGCACCCCAGGAACTGCGAGGGGCTCACAGGGTGCAGGAGCGGCTTGCGCAAGCCCTGACGGGGTCGTCCTTCCCCTGGCTCTCCCTGTAGCATTGGCCAAGCAAAACCAGCATGCAAACAGAAACCGGGGTTGCAGGCTCACTGGCAACTTCGTGAGCAGAGCAATGCCCCTCTCCACGCCTGGGTAAGGACAAGTTCTCTGCTGTTGCGGTGCAGAGGATAGGGTTAACTTTTAGAGAGCTGCTGCTCTCTGAAAAAGCCACCTGGGGCATAGGGGAGAGGGTTTAGTGTAGAAAGGCTGGTGCTGCATTTCTTCTTTCTTTCTCGCAGGCCCTGTGGGAATAGTTGTGCCTTGCCCGCATGCTTAATTAAGGCTTAATTCAGGAAAAATCAAAAAGGGGAGTAAAACCATTCAGTGTGACACCCCGGCACATGCCACGGGTGAGCCCCTGCCTTCAAAACCCAGATCAGCAGGAGGGAGGAGACCCAGGAAGGGTGACTACAACTGCTGGAAAAGCTTTGTAGGGCAGCAGGAGCCCAGGGTTGCAGTTGGGGGCAGCGAGCCGCTGGGGCTGTGCCACTTGGTGCCTTGGGCTGCCGTCCCTGGGACGCGTGGTGAAGGTGCTCTGGTAAATGGATGCCTTGGAGAGAGGAGATGGGGGCTGCCAGGCTGGAAGGCTGTGAATAGGGGAGAAACACACACGGGAGGGGTTGTTCTTGCATCTCCATGAGTAAGCCTGGGCCTCGCTGCCACCCATAACGAAGGGAAATTCAGGGGAACTCAAAGGACCCAATAATGAGGGTGCCCTCTGTCCCTGTGTGTGGCTCAGGATCTTCATGGCTCTTGTTTGTCATGCTGTGCTTCGGGACCCAGCCGCCATCACCACCACCAGGGAGGGTGTTGGGAAGGAGCTTGTCCCATGGGCAGCATTGGCCACCGCGAGCCCTGGGTGCATTTGTTCCAGCTTGCTGGTCTGGAGCGGAGGTGCCTTGGCTAGCTGGACCCCTCTCTGGTTTGGCATCACTGTCTCCTGGTGTGATGGGGGATGAGCCAGGTGGGCACCGGGTCCCCCTGGCCCGTGGGACCTGCTGCCTGCACCGCACTGGCTGGGCTCGACCGTGCCCTGTCCCCGCAGCCCTGGGACCACCTGGGTGTCCCCAGAGCAGTGCTGCCGGGTGAGAGGGCTGCTCTCAAAGGCAGCCCAGCACCTTTTGGTGGTTGTTTGGAGGGCCAGGGCTGCCCTGACCCTCCCCAGTGCTCCCTGCCTGCGCCCAGTGGGTGCTGCCTGCACCTGCTGGGTCTCCAGGAGCAAAAGGGAGCTGGCTCACCATCAGCCCCTCCATGTCTCCGACAGAAGCATGCCCGAGGTCAGGTCCTCTTCGACATGGTGTGTGAGCACCTCAACCTCCTGGAGAAGGACTACTTCGGCCTCACCTTCTGTGACTCGGACAGCCAGAAGGTGAGCACGGGGGGTCCCTCTGCGGCTGCCTCCTCCGTGGTGGGGGGCCCCCCTGACCTGCTGTCTCCTCGTTGCAGAACTGGCTGGACCCCTCCAAGGAGATCAAGAAGCAGATCCGCAGTAAGTGCCTGGGGAGGGTCCATCCCAGCCCTGGAGCGTCCCGCTGGGCTCCTGGATGGCTCAGCTGTGGCTGTCCTCCAGTGGGTCCCCTCCCCACCTGCCCTGGAGGGGACCTTTGGCAGCTGGCCTGGGGACAGGGATGCTGTTCGTTCGGCTGCCTGTTACCCACCTCTCCTCTTACTCATGACAGGTGTGGGGGGCAAAGGACCCCATCTATGCCACCAGATTGCTCTCTGAGGCCCGGTCCCTCTCTGGGCACCATCCCCAGGGCATCACCTGCCCTGAGCAGGGAGGACAGGGATGGAGGGAAGAGCAGGGGGCTTGCTGGGACAGGTTCTGGGTTCTGGGGTGCCTTTGCCCATGATGTTGCCTTGCTGGGGCGGCAGAAGGGCTGTTGCCCAAGGTGTCACCTTCTGGGACATGTGAGGCTTTTGCTGTGACATTTGTAGTCATGCTGAGCTGATGGCTTCCTGAAGTTGTGATGCTTTTCTCTCCCCAGCTGTTTGGGGAGGATTAACCAAGTCGTGTTGGTGTCCGATGGCTGGCAGCTTCTGGAGCCCCCTTGTCCCTGCCCTGTGCCGGGCTTGGGGGGAGTCGTGGGACCCTTAGTGGATGCCCAGATACTCCTGCACGGCTGCATGCAGCCAGCGTGGGTGCTGCCCTTACTGCTCTCTCCCCTCCCTAGGTGGGCCCTGGAACTTCGCCTTCACTGTGAAGTTTTACCCTCCAGACCCTGCCCAGCTCACGGAGGACATCACAAGGTGAGGACCACCCCTCCATGGGCACAGCTGCTGGGGCAGCTCCCAGGGGACCGACTGGGAGCATGTGGAGGGGCAGGGCTCAGGCAGGACATGGGCAGCCAGGGGTTGTCTGGGGGCTCGCTGCCCTCCCACTGTGTGTGGCATGTCTAAATCACACAGAGCGGGGCCAGGAAGGTTGGCCGTGGGAGGTGGCAGTCCCCACGGGGAGCAGTGCAAGGTAGGGTGCATGCTGCTACTTCCCTGGGAGCCCCAGCCTGCTCCAGAGGGCACACACCTCTGCCCCACTCTCACCTTCTGCCCTCTCCTGCAGATACTACCTGTGCCTGCAGCTCCGTGCGGACATCACCACGGGGCGCCTGCCCTGCTCCTTTGTCACGCATGCCCTGCTGGGCTCCTACGCCGTGCAGGCTGAGCTGGGCGACTATGATGCCGAGGAGCATGTGGGCAACTACGTCAGTGAGCTCCGCTTCGCCCCCAACCAGACACGAGAGCTGGAGGAGCGCATCATGGAGTTGCACAAGACCTACCGGTGAGCCCCAGGAGAGGACGGGCTGGTGGTGAGGAAGGCACCAGACAGTTGGCCCACGCCCGGTGGGGTGCCCGGCCACATGTCCCCCTCTCTGTCTCCCTGCAGGGGAATGACCCCCGGGGAAGCGGAGATCCACTTCCTGGAGAACGCCAAGAAGCTCTCCATGTACGGGGTGGACCTGCACCACGCCAAGGTACGGGGCCATGGGGCTGCCAGAGCGATGGCCAGTGCCACCCCATCCTGCCCTGCTGCCTGCACACCCCTCCCTGCCCAGCCCCTTCTTCCAACAATGAAGGTTCAACAAGGACACGGTCCTGGGTAGCCAGCTCTGGGTGGCCCTGCATTGGACCGGAGGACCTCCAGAGATCCAACCTCAGCCAGCTCTGGGTGGCCCTGCATTGGACCAGAGGACCTCCAGAGATCCAACCTCAACCAGTCTGTGATTCAGTCACCTCTCTGTCAGCCGGTCACCTGCAGCAGAGCACTGAGCAGGAGGGAGCGTGGCACTGCTGGCCAGACCGGTTCTTACTGGGCAGCTGAGCAGTCCCCTCCTGTCCCTCTTGCCTCCTCCAGGACTCAGAGGGCATCGACATCATGCTGGGCGTCTGCGCCAATGGCCTCCTCATCTACAGGGACCGGCTGAGGATCAACCGCTTCGCTTGGCCCAAGATCCTCAAAATTTCCTACAAGAGGAGCAACTTCTACATCAAGATCCGCCCGGGTGAGGTGGGTGCCATGTGCCAGTGCGGCCCCGGGGCACAGCAGGGTGCCTGCTCTGCTGGACTGGGGCCGCCTGGTGGGGAGGTCCTCGCCTGGCTCCAGCCTCTGCCCCAAGGGTACCAAGTTAATGACCACGCCAGCCAAGAGAGCACATCTCCTGTGGCGTATGGAGGCTTTCAGCAAGCGCTTTCTTGTTTGTGCTCTCATTTTCTCACTGGCAAAGTGACTTCAGCAGGCTGAGGGCACCCCAGGCTCCTTTCCCCACCAGCCATATGCCGTGACCCCGCTGGCATAGGGAGGTCACCCAGGAAGAGGGGTTGAGGGCCATTTTTGAGGGTTGTTTTCTGACTTTATTTTCACTGTTTTCACTTTTATGTGCACTGATGGGAGAATGCATTTCCACCCACGTTTTCCAGCAGGCAGGAGGGCAAGGACAGTGCATCTAAAATGGAGAGCGATGCCCTCTCGCCAAAATGAGCTGTAAAAGGTTTTTATTTCTTGAGGGAATTTATCTTGCACTGAAAAGCCATTTAGAGTTGAGGAAAGTGCTTAGGCCAAAAGTGTGGGGGCGTGATCCCACCACTCAGTGGGGCTGGGCATGGACCTTTCCAGCACTGCTTTGAAGAAGACTTTTTTTTGCATGGTCATGGCTCCTGCCAGAGGAACCTGAGGGCCTTGGCAAGGCAGGTCCCATCCCATGCTGTCCTTTAGGGCATGATCTGCCTGTAACGGCATGTCTCTGTCTCCCCCAAGTATGAACAGTTTGAGAGCACCATTGGCTTCAAGCTGCCCAACCACCGCTCTGCCAAGCGTCTCTGGAAGGTCTGCATAGAGCATCACACCTTCTTCAGGTGAGGAGACCTTCTCCAGACCTTCTCCAGGCCTCCCTTCTTGGAGGCAGACATGCTCCTGCCTCTGCCGCAGTGGGTACACGCGGGGGGCAGCGCCAGGGGGCACGGCTGGGGCTCGCTGACAGCACTCCACCTCTCTCACCCCTAGGCTGGTGTCCCCGGAGCCACCCCCCAAGGGCTTCCTGGTGATGGGCTCCAAGTTTCGCTACAGCGGGCGGACGCAGGCGCAGACACGGCAGGCCAGCGCCCTCATCGACCGCCCGGCTCCCTTCTTCGAGCGCTCCTCCAGCAAACGGTACACCATGTCTCGCAGCCTTGACGGAGGTATGCCCCAAATTGGGGAGGGGGAGGGAGATTGGTCCGCTGGCGGGAGCGAGGGGGCTACTGTTCGGCTCATCTCTGCGAGCTCTTTGGCTCATTTGACAGGGTTACAGCAGCCATCAGGCTTCCTTCTGGAGGCTGTCCCCAACCGCATCCCCATGGCAGAGGGTCTGTCCCCACCCCAAGTGATAGCTCAGACTGTGCATGAGCAGGGGGACATGGCAGGCCTGGGGTCAGGCAGCTTGGGGATGGGGCTCCCCCTGGCTCCCTGTGCCCTGGGACCTCTGGGGCCGCAGGAAGCCCTGTGACCCCTGGGACCAGCCATCCCTGCTGCAGGGCGTTCGGGGCTCCTCGGCCCCCAGGTCTGAGCTGGCAGGGTGGGTGGCAGGGGCTGGGGGGCTGGAGTGGGGGTTGGGGGTGGCAGGGCTGGGGTGACCTGGCCTCTCCCCCCGCGGGCAGAGTTCTCGCGCCCGGCCTCCGTCAGCGAGAACCACGACACCGGGGCAGAGGGCGAGAAGCAGGATGAGGACGGTGAGTTTGGCAGCAGGAGACGGTCCGAGACGGAGGACGAGGAGGTGACTACCCCAACGAAAATCAAGGAACTGAAGGTACAGACGAGGCGGGCAGAGGAGGGTGGAGGTGGAGCGGTAGGCTGGCTCACACCTGGAGAGGGCAGGCAGGGGACCGGGCATAGGCAGCAGGGCTGGGCTGCAGGCAGGAAGGGTCAGCTCGGGGCACAGTCGCCTGCAGCCTTTTCTCCACCAGCTGTGCCCCAGGCTGGTGGGACCCTTGGGACATGGCTCTTGGCCTCACCAGTGGAAATGGGGCTTGGCTCAACTCTGATTCCCCAGTGCCCTCCAGGTGGTCTCAAGGCTTGTTCCCAGGCAGGGCTGGACCTGGGAGCAGCCCCGCTCCGGGACAGGGATGGGGATGGGGACAGGCCAGGCACACCAGTACTCACTTGTGCCCCCCACTGCCCAGGCACAGCCCACCCGCTCCCTGCCCTGGCCCCTGGGCTGGCCCAGGGACACCCCAGCCTATTTCAGCCCCATGCTGCGAGGGGAGGGGGGGTCCGGTCCTTCTGCGCCCTACCAGCCCATCAACTTAACTGTGATGTTTGTGACAAGTTCCCTCAACTGACCCTGCTGGTTACTTTTAACCCTCTCTTTGCTGCCAGCCGGAGCACGAAACAACCCCCAGGCACAAGCAGGAGGTATTCTCTCTCTGGAGTATCTTAGTCCTCATCGGTGCATCATATTGTCCATCCTTTCCAAAGCAACACTGTGTGTCACCCTATTTACTGGAATACAAGATGCACCAGGGTGTGGGGGTTGGATGCTAGAGAAGCCCGATGAGCAGACAGCTGGGGATCTGCCCCAGCATGCACACAGCATCTTCTATCCCACTAAGTAAGGTAGTCCTAATCGTACGTGTGAGCAAGAGCCCTCCCAAGGCGCAATGGCCAGGCCCCTGCGCCAAGTCCTTGGCCCGTTGGGAAGACCTGGCTTCTGCTCGTGTTACTGACTCCGCCATGTCCTTGCCTCGTGTCTCCTCTCCGTCCAGCACTGCAGCCCTAGCTCTCCTGTGGAGGCTGGTCCCGTCCCTCCTGCTGGCACCCCGACCCACACTCTGCTTTTGCCTGACCTGAACTGCCTCTGCCACCTGCCCTGCCTGGTGGCTCTGCTCTCCCACAGCCCCCTGCTCCTGCAGCGTGGCTCCCCTCCGCGGAGAGCCGGGCTGGAGCTCCTCGCAGCACTGCGGCTGCCGTCCCGCCCCGCCGGGAGCAAATGAGTCTCTGAGCTGCCTTCAGCGCCTGCTCAGCTGCCTGTGGGGGCAGGCACTGGCACCCACCCCCTGTGCCAGAGGGCAACTGCCTGCATCTGCCCGGCCTGAGAGTGGGCTGTCACAGAGAAGAGGGAGGCTGTGCCCTCCCTTGCACAAACTCCTGTGTCCATGGTGGCCCCCCATCAGGAACGATTCATCCCAGCCTAAAATCCACGGCTGCTCCCTGGGGGTTTCCCCTCTGCTTGCAGTGGGATGTACATGCTCGCTGGAGCTGTCGACGGAGGCAAACACGGCCAGGTGATGGGGTTTGCCGTGCTGGCACCACACAGCGCTCACTGTCCCGCTCGGCACCGCAGAGCAGACCCCGCCGGGATGGTGGGCACCGGTCCCAGTTCCTCCCCTGCCTGCCTCATTGCTTACCCTGCTGCATGTGCATGTGCTGCTCCCCCAGCCCCCAGGGCACCCCAAGCCCAGAGGTGGGCAAACCATGAAGCACTTCTCCATGACTCAGACACGCGGGTCCACGGGGTGGGAGGTTTCATGAGTTGCACTGAGCCTTCAGGATCAGGAAAATTTTGTAGGGTTTTTCATGGGACTCTCTTGGGTCTCTAGGCTGTTGCTGAGGAGAAATACCGGGGAAGTATTTTAGGTGACTCCTTTCGAACCTCAAAAGAGGTTTGAGTTTGAGTTTGAAGCAGAAGCCAGGGTTCTTGCTCTTGCTGGTTCTTGCTCTGAGCCAGTTTGCCCACCTCTGTGGCAGGATGAGGGGAGCCACCCTGGTGCCTGTACCGTCACAAAATGATGCTCTAACACCTAAACCCCACCTTGCACTTGAGCGCTCTGAGCTGTCCTCTCTCCACAGCAGGCCAGACCGCACCCCACCCCAGGCTGCCATTGGGCCCAGGCTGGTCCATGGTGATCCAGGCTTGGATCCATGCTGGACACCTCTGACCAGCCCTTGACCTCCTGCCCTTTGGCAGAAGCCCATTCGAAGGAGCTCCGTTGGAAATGCCAGTTTCCTGCCCTGCTGGGACAGAGGCTCGGGCTCCCTTTGTGCCTGGCATGAGAAAGCAGCAGAGGAGGCTGCTGGTATTTCCAATAGGGCCTGATCCCTTGCTGATCCCAAGGGAGAGCCCGCTCTCTTCCTCCAGGTGACTTAACTTGTCCTCAACAGGCCACGCTGGAGATGCCGAAGGGGCATGCTGTGCCCTTCACAGAGGGAAGCCTGCCAAGCACATTCAGCCACGTGCTGCCTTTTTGCTGCTCCCCGCAACAGTCTTAGTGAGAACTGCAGACCAGGGTGCTCTGACATGCTGTTCATTTGTCTCTTGAGACCTTAAATTCAAGCCCAGTGTGAAGCAAACCCTCCCAGTACCCCTGCTCATCTCTTTTGCATTGGCTGGTGCTTTAACCACAGTTATCTTCCTCTCTCCTTCCCCAAGTTTTTAGACAAGCCAGAAGATGTTTTGCTGAAGCATCAGGCCAGCATCAATGAGCTGAAACGGACCCTGAAGGAGCCCAACAGCAAGCTGGTTCACAGGGACCGGGACAGGAGGCTGCCTTCCTCACCAGCCTCTTCCTCACCCAAGCATGAGGATGAAACACCAAAGGGAACCCCAGAGAAGGCCAGCGAGGTTTGTTCCGCTGCTTCTCTTATGGAGGGGATCAGGTTGTTCGTGGGGAGGTGTTCCTCAGCTGTTGGGCTCTGAGTCTCTGCCTCCTGTGCTACCCTGGGGGAGCATGGTGGAAATTATGTGGTGGGGGACACGGGGTGGAGGGAGGGGGCCTTTGGCCAGGCCGTTGTCTCTGTTTTGTAACGAGCTAACCATTTTCACACTGCTGGTAGTGATCTCCCCTTGTGCCCAGGCACTGCATGGGGTTGAACTTCTCATCGTTCTCTGGGGGACTGTGTTTTGGGGGTACCTGAGAGTTGGGCTGTGGCTTTGTTGGCCCATGAGACAGGGCTTTCCTCACCCCTCGTACCAGCAGGGCTGCTGCATGGCAGTGCCCAGTGCAGCTCTCGCCCGAGGGGTGTCCTCAGCAGAGCAGGACCAGGCACCTGCGCAGAGGTGCCCCATTGTGCTCTCACCAGCTAGGACTTGGGTGGTGGAAGTAGGTGGAGGGGTGAGCAGTGCCGCACTGGCATCCTGCACGCACGTCCTCCCCTCCCCTCCTGGCATTTTGCCTGCTGGCTTTGCAGTGGGATCGCGAGTGTGAAAGGAAGGCGCCTGGGGAGTTGGAATTGGGGGTGCCAGGACATGCAGAGCCCCCGGTGCTGCGTGAAGGGCGCGGATGTGGTGCAGTTGGGTGCTCTGTGACACTGGGTTCCTGGTTGGCTCAGTATAGGCAGCATGTGACAAGGGCATCCCTGGTGCCAGCCTGGATGCCCTCTCCCTACCAGGGACCCTCCCTGCTTGCTTTTCCCTTCATGGTGTTCTCTCCCCTGTGGGGGTTCTGGAGCCAGTCCTGTGCCCACGCCAGTGGGCATGGCTCCAGGCAGGGTGGACACCACATGCGGGGCCTGCTTTGCCCTGGCTCCCTCCTGGGACAGTCTTGCAGAGCAAGTGAGGATGTGAGGCTGGGCTGCGAGGAGGGTGCGGGGTGCTGCAGGGCGGCTGGGCCAGGGGCTCTCTGTGGGAGATTCGTGATGTGCATGTGCGCCTGCTGGTCCCCAGCACTGACCAGAGACCCAGGGCTGCAGGGTGACCTGGGCAGAGGTGAGCTCACAGCCCCTCATCGAAGCAGTGAGCTGGAAAGAGGAAAAGGGACTTCACCCCACATCTCTTTTACAAGCAAATATGTAAAGTGCAGAGATGTAAATGGAGCATCTAGAGCTGGCATAGCTGTGACCTCTGTTCATCCATCCACCCATCCATCCATCCACCCGTCCATCCATCTACCCATCCACCCACCCATCTACCCACCATTTGTTCCTTCATTCCTTCTCATGTGCTCTCTCTCTGTCTCTCTGTCTGTCTCTCTCTCTCTCTTTCCCTGTGGGTGCTGGGGTTTCCGTGCTGGCACAGACGGTTGAAGAGGACACCCTAGACGATTTTGCATCTGAGCATGGAGCTTCCCTAAGCATGGAGTCTTTCACGCAGAAAAGCCTTGTCTCCTCTCCTGAGGTTGTCACCACCCTCCTTATCTCCCCACCCCTCACTCTCACAGTTTGCCCCACTGTGGGCTGTGGGACCCTCCGGCCTGCCAGGGTGGCTCCTGCCCTCTGAGCAGACCTTGAGCCATTTGCTGGCCCCCCTAGGTGGGTTCCCTCTCCAGCGATGGGCAGGATCCCTTGCCAGGACAGGGCTGTTGGTGGAATCTGCTCCCCTGACTGTTTCTTCTGGGTTGTGAGACAGGGTTCTGGGAGAGACCTTCCAGTGGAGCCCTGCTGTACACACCCAGGGCTGGCTGTGTGGGTGAGGGGGCCATGCTGGAGGCCAGTGCTGGGGGTCCCGAGGCAGTGCTGACCCTATGGCACAGGCACTCTGTGGGTGTCTGCTCCAGGTGCAAGCTGGCAGGCAGCTACAAGCTGTCTTTAGCAATCCCTTGTGCTTTCCTTTCATTTTGGCTATAGTTACAGTTCCCTGGGCCCAGGCACCCTGAAATAGGGCATCTCTGGAGGCATCAGAAATGTTGGACTTATGCCTGTGCAAAGCAGAGTTATACTGCCTTCGATGTCCTTGCGCAGTGCACACGGGTGAGGAATGTGGGCTCTTGGCACTGCTTGCATGCAGGGTTTCTCTCACATGATGGTGGTTGTTTCCCAGGACAGCCAAGAGAAGATACCACTGCGCAGAAGAAAACTGGTCTTTGAGACTTGGTTCTGGTGTGGTTGGACCCAGCCATGCCACAGTGGGGTGCCCAGCAATGCTGGGGTGCATGTCCTGCCTGAGTGCCCCCAGGGAAGACAGCGGAGCAGGAGCAGCGTTGGGCAGGGGGGCAGACGAAGCAGGGGCAGGGGCAGGGGCGAGGCTGGTCCCACTCTCGCTCCCTGTCATCTCCCTTAGTCAGTGCAGAAGTTGCCAGCGTCGGCAGGCTGTGCCTTACCAGCACATCTGGAGCCTGAACCTGGACTGGCTGTAGCCTGTGTCCCCAGGAGACAGTATGGGTTTGAGTGAGGGCTTGGGCACAACCCCGGGCTTCAACAAAGATACAGGCACCTTCAGCGAAGCTTGGGCTCTGCAGCAGCATCTCCTGGTCCACACTGGGACCCTCTACATGCCAGTATTTAGGAGCTGGTGGACAGAAACAGCAGAAGTGAGGTGCGCACACATCTTGATTCAGAGAGTTCCCCTCCACCCTCTGGAGACCCTCAGGGTGCCAGGGCTGTGCTGGGGTGCAGGTGCCGAGGTGGCCTCACTGGTGATTTCTCTCCAGGCGTTAGTGGCTGAGACTCAGCAGTTGATATGTGGGAACTTGTCTCCTCCTGTTCCCAGAGCAGGTGTGTTGGGAGAGGGGGGAGAAATGTGAAAGTAATTTATCCCTTGGGAAGCCAAGGTTGCTCTATGGAGAGACCCTTCCCAGCATCATCACTTCTTAGACTCAGCTCCTGCCTTGGCACACACTCTGTCCTGCCAGCCTACTGACCTCCAAAGCTCCAGAAGTTCTCTTCTTTCCTGGAGGACATACCCAAGTATCCAGGTATTTGCTCCGAACATCCCCAAGAGTCCTCAGGCTCTGGAGACACAAGGGCTGCCATGAGCTGTGGAACCAGAGCTGTGGCCGGAGCTGGCGTTGAGCCCTCCAGAGCAGAGTTCAGATCATGCCACAGAGTAGTTGGCTCTTCCCTTGGAGTGGGCTGTGCTCATCCCAACAAAGTTTGAGAAGGAAGCTGGTTTGGAAATAAATCCAGAGCTTTTGGGTTTTCCTTACTGGTTAAGAGGTGTTGCCATGGACGAACACATTGTTCCAGGCTTCAGAAGACTTGTCTTAAGGTTTTTTGATCTACAACATATATCTCAAGCCTTAACTCGGAGAAGGAGCCTGAAGAAACTCATCATCTTTGTCCAGGGAAGGTCTCCTCCAAAGGACTCTGGTTTGCAGCCAGAGAAGGGGGACGAGAGGGCTTCACTGAAGAGATTTGTACATGTGCTCACAACCTGTCCATCCTTGCCTTGGCTGCAGAAAGGGTTCAGCAATGAGACTGCAGTGCAGGAGCAGAAGAGAAGCTGCTGTACCCTCAGGAAGTAAGCGGTCTTTTGGTTGAATCGCCCATGAGCATCGCTGCTGAACGGGAAGACTGGTGTTGAGGGAATGCCAGAGACCAACCTGGGCTTCCCGGCAGGCCCAACGCAGTTGCTGAGTTAGTGATAATGTTGCTTTCATGGGTCAAACCCAACTGTGAAAGACCTAGGTGCAACCTGGTGCTCCTGGCAGTCACCAACTGCCTCTGTTGCGATTTCCATGGACTAGGAAGAAATAAAACCTGCATTGGAGGCAGGTGTGGAAGAAGGGACCTGGAGAGCAGACGGTGCTTGGGAGCGCAGGGTAAAGGGATATCGGAAAAGCTTGTGCAAGTAATGCTGTAGGGAGCTGGCGTGAGATGGGTCTCCTGAAGACTTGGCTCCTCCAGTGCAGGTGCGCAGGGCTGCCTGGCTGTGGCAGGGTGCAGGTGCCATGGTAGAGTCCCTGGCAAGGATCTGTCTTCCATCTGTGGAGGAGGGTGCCCTTACTGCCATGTGTGTGGCATGGCTTGCAATGCACGTGTGCCATCCCAGCGGCTGTCCTGGCAGTGTGAAGAGCCTGCACCCACCTCTGCCCTCAGGTGGCTCAGCATTCTCACAGGAGGCCAGCGGCGGGCCGTACCCGCGCGCAGCCCCCATGGTGCCTCCGACCCAGGCACAGCCCTGCTGGCACTCATAGGGGATTTTCAGGGGGCAGCCACACTCTTGCTGGAGCCTGGGGCAGGGGGGCAGGTGTGAGGTCTGCTGCTTGCTCAGGTGCTGCCAGGGCAAGGCCTGGGGCACTGTGCCTAGGAAGCTTTGCTTTCATTGGCTCCTGGTAAAGAAGGCAGGAGCTGGGAGGTGGCGTTTTTCTGCCGGGGGCTTTCACAGATTTCTGATTCCCCTCCTTGTGGAAGCCCTTCCACTAGTAATTAGTTTTGCTCCTCTCTCTCTCTCCTGTAATCTCATCTTCTTTTCCCTTCCTTCTTGCTCTGCTTCCCTCTGCCCCCCTGTTTCCCCTTATTCAATATCAGTTATTAGGTTTCCATTTTGGGTGCAACTGCTCCAAACATTCACCCTGACACCCCTGCATGGGGCATGGCTCATGTTTTCATGGATTATTTTTCCTAGTTTGAGCGGGCAGCCAACCCCCCACCCACTGGGGCTGGAGTGCATCCTGGTGCCACAGAGGGTCAGTCTTGCCCAGCCTGCAGAAGTGATGCTGGCTCTGCCTGCAGGCTGGTGCCCAGGCAGCCTGTGTCATGGGCAGAGCCAGCCCCATGGTGAACTCCGCAGGACCATGCCCACAGCATTGCCCTTCGCGCGTGTGCTGCCTACGGTAGGATGGCTGAGGAGGCTGCTGGGCTTCCTCATCGGTGCAAATGTTTTCCTGCTGCTGTTTTCTCATGGGCCAGGAGTGGTTGAATTTTAGCAGTGCTTTGTTCTTGGCACTTGTGAAGTCTTTAGCTGTC